AAAGAGATAATATCAGGGGAGGGGACAAACTGTACAAGCGATAGAATAATTGTGACGTAAGCAAATTGTTAATAACAAGTGCGCGACATTGTAGGAGCAAAATCCGCCCAAAACTACATTTTGTTTTCAACTTTTTGCTTTATTTCAGTTCAGTTTTAGTCAATAAATGTCTTGGTGTTCTCCAAATACACACCCAACAATGTTAAGCCCGTACTGGTCCAAGGGCGAGCAGCTAATGTTTCGCCAGCTGCCAACCCACAGTCCCTCTGACTTTTGAAAGTTGATTTTGGAATTGGATGCGCTCTCATATATTTCCAACCATTGTGCTAGTTTATTAATAAAAGTCTTGTTTGCGTCTAATGAATATTTCTATGTCGTCAGCATATGCTGTCAGTTTGCTGTTTAGTCCATTTCTCTGAGGGATATCAAAACCTGTGATGTCTTTATGCTGCCTGATTTTATGGAGTAACTGCTCTATGGCAATGACATATAAAAGTGTGGACAGAGAGCATCCTTGACGAATGCCTCGGGACAACATGATAGGTGATGTGAGGGCGCTGTTCACTCTAACAAGAGAATGGTCATTTTTGTACAAAAGACAAATATACTGAATGAAATTTGGTCCAAAACCAAATGGACGTAATGTCCTGAACAAATAAGTGTGATTTATGCGTTTTCCTGATCAAGAGCTACTGTAACAATACCCAATGGAGTGTTTGTCGCGTTACACTGATAGTAATCGATACAATCGCGCAGTAGGTTGATGTTGTCGTGAATGTGACGATTTGGGATACTGCAGCTTTGATCAGAATGGATGATGGAACCAATGACAGATCGAAGACATAGTGACAATGCTTTCGTGAAGATGTTATAATCACTGCACAGGAGGCTAACTTTCCGCAAGTTTTTAAGACAAGTAATTTCCCCCTTTTTAGGTAGTAAAGTGCAAGAAAACCATCACAAATACAACAAACAAAGATATTCACGATCTGCTTCACTGAGATTTGGTAATCCTTCAAGAATAGAATTTAGTGCATTTTCACCAGTGTTATCGGGTGACTGATGTGTAAAGAGATGCATAAAATTTGCAAGTGATGTTAAGTATTTTACAAGTGTCGTCAGTTAGACCATGGAGTCTTTACCTCCATGGTTAGACGGCCATTTTCGCGCTGAATATTGAGCTATTTAGTAAGTGTACGAATGTAACCCATCACAGCACTGAAAAATTAACGCTGTATTTTTTGTGGGAAAAACTCCAAACTAAAATTTGTAAATAGAGGGATAAGTGAACTACTCTCAAATTCAGGCAGTCCATCTTGCTAGGACCAATCCGGTTATAAATTAGTTGACCATGTGGCAACTAATCTAGTCAGCCTAACTACTGTAAAATACTTTATTTTCGCTTGGAATTAATTTTCGCTGAAAGAATGATTCAGTGAAAATCCAGCGAATATTACTTTTTTTCTATACTATACTATACATTCAACTCACCGAAAATCAGTGAAAATAAATTCCATAGTACAAAACACCAAAAAAGTCTTTACAGCGAAAATTAATTCCAGCTAAAATAAAGTATTTCACACTGAGTAATCGGTCATCATACCATTTCCAATCTATCGGCGCTGGCTCTGTGGTGAATTAAAATACATAGTGCAATTTACCCGACGGACGATACTTACCACAACATATAATCTCTTTTGATAGTGCATATTTGTATCACCCCCAACAGTCTCCGGACATCGAGTCGGTAACCAAAATGGCACAATCATATAGACATTATAGAACTATTTAATACGGGTGGCATTGTACACGTTGGTGAATAAATTCATTCTTTGCCGATTACGAAAAATACAGATTGGGTTAGTTCCCGAGAGAAACTGCTCTAATCATATGATCGGATAAAGCGCACTGTAGTATTTAGGTACAATTTCGAGTTGAGATTATGACTTTTCTTTACGTAACACTACGATAAAGAGTTTCCGTTTTCGACATTGTGAAAAGCTTTCGTTTTTTGGGGGATAAAAAACATTAAAAAAAAATTTTGACAAGACAATTCAGGAATTTATATTAAGAATAATTCATAACGAAATGTATTCCCTATGCACACATAAATAATTTTCATAATTACAATTACACAAGAATATTACATAACAAAATAATTTGATAAATTCTCTATATTTTTGCCTTTTATTTGTCTTGAATTATGACTGAAAGAAGGTGAATGAAATTACAAACTATGTAGTGTGTTCAACAACTCATGTATGAACATTAACTTAATTCGCTAGCCAGTGTGCAAATTGGCTGCCCCAATACTTCTGGGACTTGCAATCATGATAATTTTCTGGAAACTGTACATCAAATCACATATTTTCATTATTAATTGTTCATTGTATTTCTAAATTTCAGTTTTTATTGTTCATAATTATTTACAGTGATAAAACTTTCCGTTCTGAAACCAATTCCAGTTCAGGTTTCAGGTCAAATCGTGATGAAAAACTTCATGGTGAAAATAT